GTATATGCTCTTTTCAAGTTTGCCAAAGCTTTCGAGACTTAAATTCAAGTTAAATCAGGAAATGAATTTGATATGTTTATCTGATAGTTTTATTTGGATTATGATGTTTCAAGGAGAAAGACAGGCATGTAAATCCTTACTTAAATTGGAAACGCATTGTTTTAAACCGCAGCGGATGTCATAACCCATGGGAAAGTCTAGGACTGGGGCTACTTTATGGACACGTGTCCTGCGCAAAGCGACGAGCATCGCTAGAATTGCTCTAAAACTAATAGGCTGAGAGGCGTGTTCTCTCCTAGATTTTTTTCCTTTTATGTGCTAAGTATTGAATTTTTTTTAATATAATATCATATACATTAACTAGTTCATTAATACAACAGTAACAACCAATCCTTTATTCTAAATGTTTGGATTCAACTATATGAATTCTATTTTTTCATTCCATTCTGTTATGAGTCATCTCCTTCCTTAAGTTAGTCTTAATCATATCATTCTTAATTGTTTCTAACCAAGTCATTCTAAGCCTAGCTCTAGATCTCTTAGCCCCATTAATTCTAATATTATTATTTTTTCTAATCGGTACACTAAGGGGTCTCCGTTGTACATGACCAAATCATCTTAATCTATTCTCTCTCATTTTATCCGCAATAAGAGCAACATCTAATTTACTACAGATGCACTCATTTCTTATCATATCTTTTAATGTATACCAACAAGACCATCACAACATTCTCATTTTTGTTATACTTATTTTTTGAACATGTTATTTTTTAATTGCCCAACACTCTGACACATAAAGCTTAGTTGGTCTTATAACCGTCTTATAGAATTTTTCATTTAGTTTCATTGGTATTCTACGACCACATAAGACTCCCGAAGCACTCAACCATTTCAATCATCCAGATTTGATTCGATGCACATATCATCCTCTTTCTCATCATCATGCCTAATGATTGATCCTAAATAACGAAATGATTAGCTTTAGGTATTTCTTGGCCATCAATATGTACCATAAGCTCTCTTTCTTTTCTAGTTTTACTAAAAATACATTCTATATATTCTCTTTTTGTTCTACTAATTCTAAAACCCTTAGATTCAAGAGCTTATCTCCATCTTTCTACTTTAGAAAAAATGTCTTTTCTAGTTTCATCAACTAACACTATATCATCAGCAAATAACATATACTATGAGATTTCATTCTGAATGTGCTTAGTAAGTTGGTCTATAACAAATGCAAAAAAATAAGGACTTAAATCTGACACTTGGTGTAAACATCTGATAATAGGAAATGATTTAGTCTCTCTTTTATTAGTTCTTACTCTAGTTGTTACTCTATCATACATATCTTCAATCATATTAATATATATATACTAGATACATATTTTTTTCTAACACCCATCACATTACCTCTCTAGGCACTTTACCATAAGTTTTTTCTAGATTGATAAAAATTATATGTAGATCATTTTTCTTCTCTCTATATCTCTCCATCAACCTTCTCAAAATATGTATAGGTTCTATAGTTGACTTTCCAGGCATAAAACCAAATTTATTTTTAGATATACTCGTCTCCTTTCTTAGTCTTTGCTCAATTGCCCTCTCCTAAAGTTTTATGGTATGACTCATGAGTTTTATACCTCGATAATTTGAACAATTTTGTATATTTCATTTATTCTTGTATATCGATATCAAAGTACTAATCCTCCACTCATCTGACATTATTTTCTTCTCGATAATATTATTAAATAGTATAGTTAACAATCCTAAGCCTATATCTCCAAGACATTTCCAAACTTCAGTAGGGACATCGTCCGATCCTACAACGCTTTCACTTTTCATTTTCTTTAGAGCATATTTAACCTCGCTAATCTTAATTTTTTAACAATATCTATAGTTTCTATCATTCACTATATGGTTAAAATCTCTATTTTACTCACTTATTTGGTTATCATTAAATAATTGATAAAAGTAACTCCTCCACCTCTCTTTCATATCCCTGTCGGCGACTAGAACTCTTTGATCTTTATTTTTAATACACATAATATTACCCAAATCTCTACTCTTCTTTTCTCTAATATTAGCAAGCTTATATGTATATTTCTCTCCCTCCTTAGATTCTAGCTTTTTATAATAATTTTTATAAGCCTTGTATTTATTCTCACTAATCGTACTTTTTGCTTCATTCCTTACTACTTTATATTTTTCTAAGTTTTTCCTATTCCTACATTTTTGCCACTCTTTGTATAAAGTTTTCTTCTCTCTAATAACCTTTTGTACACTCTCATTCTACCACCAACTCTACTTACCGTTTAATCTACAACATTTAGATTCTCCTAGTTTATCTTTAGCCACTTTCTTAATATAAGAAGACATGCTATTCCACATAATATTAGTCTTATTATCTATATTTCATATATTTTATTTTATTATTTTTATTTTATAAGTGTACCTATATTCCAAGTAGCTAAACTAATTCTATTTTCCTGTAAAAATCTCTTACTATTTTCCCTCTTAGACCGTTCTAATCTATACCTATACTTAGGGCCGGCCCTAGGGGCAGGCGGGAGAGGCCTGCGCCTAGGGCCCCCAAAAAACAGGGGCCCCCCATGTAATTTTATATATATACATATGCCATCTGCGCCTCCTCTGGCCGGCGACTCCGTCAAGGTTACAAGGTATATAAGTATATTTGAATAATTGAATATTTCTATAATTCTATACAGATAACAGACTATACTTAGATATAGCATGATATCTTTGTTTCATCACTTCATGACCTAATAATACTTTTGCTTTGTTATTGATTCTATACAGCACGAATCTGTGCATAACATTATTAACATACATGAATTAGTTGTATAAACAAAGTATGAATCTGTGCATAACATATATGAAATTATGAATCAGACTATACTTAGTATATTTGCTGATTAGTGATTAATCAATTGAAACAAGAAACCATAATATGCATACAGGCTGTATAATCAAAGTGCGTACCTGAACAATGAAAATCAGTAGCTAGTGATCAATACTTCAAATGATTGCATCGTGTCCCAAAAAAATCTTTAAGTCCAAGCTTTGTTTTTGTCTATTGAATAGGAAGAAGAGATAAAAGTGCATCTTTTAGGATTCAGGCGTGTTGATCTGAAATTTGTTTGAAGTTAAACTATTCAAATTTCAAGGTAATTTTATAACTTTATAAATTATAATATTTGTTGATATTATGTATTTTAGTATTTGTATATAATTTTTTATGTAGGCATCCCTAAAGTTACTTGGGTGCAACACTTTATTTTTTAAAAAAAAAATCTTGAATATAGGAGGGCCCCTTTAAGATTTTTGTTCAAGTTTTTGCCTAGGGCCCCCGAATGCTCAGGACCGGCCCTGCCTATACTATTCGGTAACCTATTAGAGGATTGTAGATTTTAGAACACCCTTGCTTACTTGCCATTACACTGGAGTGACATCAATGTAATGCGCTTATGGAGGACGCCGTAGCAAATCACCCTTCCTTACATGTCATTGCATCGGGGTGACATCGATGCAACACGTCGCAGTGGGGACGCCCCAACGAGTATATTATAGGATTTATTTTTCATGTGGATCTGACTATGTTTTACGCTGCTGTCGGTTACCTAATGCAACCCTCCTCCTTTATCATGGCTCAGGATAGGCAGTGCTGACAAACAACATCGGCGGTGTTTAACTAATTCATTAATCCCTATTATTATTATTTTGAGAACGATAAATAGAGCTAAGTGTAATTTGTTGAGGAATATGGTGTAGATTAAACTTGACTGAATAACAGTTTTCTAAAAAAATGAACACTTCCTTGGATGATAACAATCATAAGTTAACGAATTGAATAAATAATTTTTTTTACTATCATTAATTACTACATAACTCAAGCAGAAGGATGGAATGTATTATAGCAACTAGATTGACCATCTTTCTATCCAAACAAAAAGAGAGAACCAAATCCAATAATTAAGAAATTTGAATTTCATCTTTCATGTCTTAATTGCAAATTCAAAAACTGTATGCACCACCCATATATGATGCTCGGGAAAAATAAAATAAATTAACCCTAGTTCATACTTTGCACAGGCTCTGAAACTAGTTTTCATAGATTATTGACCATAAAAATATATGTATGATAGCAAATTGTACGGTTCTTCTACTATTAAATAACACAAAAAGGAATGTTAGAAAATCGTATATTTCATAGATATTGACTGCATGATTTTACTTAATATGAAGTTTTGAATATTAACTAGGTAAATTGAATACATCCCTTCCGATCTATGCTTTCAGTTTCAGTTGTTGTAAATACCCTCCTAGATTGACAGTCTTCAAAAAGATAATTTATCAGTAGCTCTTCTTTTTAATAATTGACAAGGTCAGATACTAATAAATAAATTGAGAGATGTTTATCATATTGAAGTTATAAATCAGGAGGGTTATGAGAAGTTTAGCTACCCAGGTATTTTAGTGAGTTAAAAAGATATAAGTTGATGATTGCTATGCGCATAAAAGAGACGGCAAAAAATACTTAGCTCATTACTCATGTGACTATTGGTGAGGGCTAACCGGTTCAAACCAATTAACTTAATCAAGTTGATCAAATCTTGACCATTCAATTCAATGTTGAAATATGTTTCTTTCAGTTCAACTTGAAAAAATAAAAATAAAAATAAATCAATTATTCATGCATTTCTTTCCTTTTTTTTTCTCTTTAAATTGCATATTATTTCAATTAATTGCATCCATTTTTATCACTGATTAATCTATAGTTTCTTTCATTAATTTCTTGATACGCATGCTTATTTTATATCGAGGTAGGCTTTTTCTTAAAGTAGCTAATCCGTGACCAGCCCGAAACAGGTCGAATCGAACCGTATGAAGTAATTTCTTTCGGTTCGGTTTAATTCCAAATAAAGAACGACTCGGTCGGTGTTGTTAAAATTTGTAAAAACGAAAACCTGTGCGTTTTGGTCACCCAACTTTTGACCCGGGCCGATTCGATTCCCAAACGAGGGAAAGAAAAAGGAAAGAGAACGTTATCCCCAAATCCCCTCCCTCTAAAATCCACAGTCCTCTTCTACATCAAACCCCTCCCCAGAATTTTATCCACAGAATTGGAGCAGCGACAGCCATGGCTCCTCTCCCTGTCTCAGTCTCTATCCTCACCACTGAAACACCTCTCCCCTCGTCGCCATTATTCAAAGCTCCGTCCTTCGTCGATCGAACCGAGCGCCTCCTCAAATCGCTGGGAGCCCTCGCCTCCGAGCACCCATTGCTGAAGCCTTTACTGTCCTTCCACTCCCAATTCCGAGACTTATTTAAGGTAAGAATGGGAAAAAGCTTGGGACTGTAGTTTATTTGTAAGAAAATGGTGGGAAAATAAGCAAAATAACGAAGGGTTGGAAATCTGAGGAAAAACCCTGCATTCTTGTTAATTTTTATGTTCCAAACTCAAAAAATGAAAATTTATTAATTTTCATCTTATTCCTCTAATATGGTTCCTATTTCTTGATGCGGATTCTGGATTTAACAACAGTTTGAATGTGCATGACCATAACAATAGAAGCCCATACGACAGGGATTTTTTGTGTCCTTATACGCCCATCTATACAATTATTACAATGCAAACTATGTCGGGTAAATAATTAGATTTGAATTTCGTGGTTCTGTTTCGTCTCACTCAGGAGTGCCCAAATGCCAAGTATGCTTGCTCCCTTCCTATTTGGCCTTCCACTTTCAACTTGCATGTCTAGCTTAGTAAGCATCTACGTTAACTTCTCAGGTGAGCTCTATGTGCATGTAGCATATCAAGACAACATCTTTATGCATGGCTCCTCTTCTCAAAATTCCAAAGTCACCAATATTTTTTTTAATTCGTGTCTGTTGCATGTGCAAAAAAAATAGTTTCTTCACTTGGCTCTTCATGATGAATGATAATTACCCGTTTAAAACTTGGTGACTTTATATCGCAAAGCTGAAATAATAACACTTCGTGATAAAATTTATATAGGCACACCAGAGAAGTAACTGATCAAATGTTTGGCTCAACAATTCCATCCACCATTATTGTGCTCTAATTGATCAAATGATCTTGAAGTCTTACAAGTTCCATGTGTTCTGTAATTGTAATATAAACTTCTTTACAAAGCATCCACACCATGTTGTGCGCAGCGGAAGACAAAACCAAAACCTATGTGCTTCAAGAAACCAAACCAAACAAACGCCGAGATAAAAACCAACCAAATCAAAATAACAGCACAAAACACAAATGACCAATTTTAACGTGGTTCGACAAGTTGCCTACGTTCACGAGACAAGAAGGGGATGATGTTTTCACTAATAAAGAAGAAGAGTACAAACTGAGATTACAAATCACTCAAACCAACCAACTAATCTCACCAACAAATCTCTAATTCTCTCCAAACAAAACCCTAACCAATAGCTCAGAAAGATCTCTCTTTTTGTGCTCCAATATCCCCAAAACAATTCCCAATCAAAGCCAAAGAAATCCTAAAACGTGTGTTTGTATTTATAGCAAACATTAATCCCAAACAGAACAAGAAACCAAGCCCAGACCCAGACCCGATACGCGGTCGACCGCTGAACCCATCGCGGTCGACCGTGGCAAACGACAGAACCTAAAAAACAATTATAGGGTCTCGCGGTCGACTGTCGCGCCAATTGACGCGGTCGACCGTCAAAAGTCCAGAGACTTTCCCCTGTGCTGTGCACGTTCGCGGTGGACTGTCGCTCCACTCGCGGTTGACCGCAAGACACCCAAAATCTGTCATTCGCCTTTTTGCTTGAACTTCTTCGCTATTGTTCCTAATTCTATAATTCTCCACCTTGATGAAGTTTTTTCAAAACTGAGGCGACACCAACCAAACCAAATGTTCCACTTGTTACGTCCAGTACGAAGTGGAAGTAATCTACGACAACGGACTCAATTCACAACAAGTCGAGACCCAAATAAGAATGTGACCACTCTCCAAACGTCGGTATCAACTCACCAAATTGGCTGCATTATAAATAACTACCTACGTATCCTCTTGCCAAAGGAATCAAGCCTTCGCGTAGTTCCCAAAAATGACCTCCAGAGACCCTCAATCCAATAGAAGAGTTCTCAACTATTCAACAACAAATCTGCGGCTGATAGCTCTCCCAATAGCCCCAAAATAAAACAATCTAAATACCTTCACCTGAGATGAACCAACGACCATATCCAAATCGAAACTATATCTATCAGCTGCACTCGAATCAACCAATTCATCATCTACATTCAAATCCAAATGATCCCCAAACTGTGTCACCTCATCTGAAATCCCAAACGATATAGTATGATCTGGAGTATATAGAGTAATCTCTACCCAATATGGAGTAGCATCACCCTCCACCCGCTGCGATATCCCAACGATCTGATTAACACTCTTTACCTGTCGAGAGTCAAACGTGACATACTTGCTCAGAACAAAATCAGAGTCTCCAAACTGATAACCAAACGAGCCTCTGAATCCCAAACTGCAATCAGATCAAATCTTACATCCTCGATATGATCAAATACTGGACAACCAAACATCCGACGCAATCCAAAATCTGAAACAACTTCACCAGATCTAATAACTCCAAACACAGTAGTCGACAATCTATGACTAAGATGACCTAAATATATCGAAGCTCTAAAACTCCTCTGCAATCTAATGCTCGACAGCCAATGCTGATCCTTCTGTAGCAAAGAATGACCCATCAAAACTGTCATCTCATCTCGTCGCCCCAATGTTTTCTCGCCAATGAAGTGTCTCAAACTGCCGTGAGCTCGGCACAAATGCAGAAACATGTCCCTCTTGTACCTTCCACTAAAATCAGAATGAAGTACCTTCACCTTGTTGTCTATCTTACACTTCTTCAAACTGTTAGAGATTACTAGGATTTTATCCAAACGGGATTTGATTACAACCCAATCATGCCTAGAACAATCTTCAACTAAGGAAACTAAATATATATTACCTCCCAATGATGTCTCATTAGAAGATCTCCAAACGTCTGAATGAACACCACCTAAAAGACCCCTCGATCAATGGATAGAAGTGTCAAATTCTACCTTGGTCTCTTTGCTCATACCAATGTGCTCAAAGGACTTCAATATGCAGGTCAAGGCACTTCTTAATAATCCAATGCACCGTATCAACAATCAAATATCCCAGCCTCAAATCCTTCTTTCTCAGCCATAATTCTCAAAGCACCAACAAACTAATACAGAACAAACAAAGAATAGATCCAAATCGATAAAAAAGATATTTTTACCTCCAATTGAAACCCTAACAAGGGCCTCCGAAAGATCTCACCCCACACGACGGAAACGAGATCCACAAACAGGAAAAATCTCACCTTCATCACCAAACGAAGTTCTAGACGAACTTCCAAAGTGATCTACTTCTCCAATTAGCCCAAACGTAGCCCGAACTCTGATACCACTTGTTGTGCGCGATGGAAGCCAAAACCAAGCCCATGTGCTTCGAGAAACCAAACCAAACGAACACCGAGATAAAGGCCAACCAAATCAAAATAACAACACAAAACACAAACAACCAGTTTTAATGTGGTTCGACAAGTTGCCTACGTCCATGAGGTAAGAATGGGATGAAATTTTCACTAATAGAGAAGAAGAGTACAAACTGAGATAACAAATCACTCAAACCAACCAACTAATCTTACCAACAAATCTCTAATTCTCTCCAAATAAAACCCTAACCAATAGCTCATAAAGATCTCTTTTTTCTGTGCTCCAATATCCCCAAAACAATTCCCAATCAAAGCCAAAGAAATCCTAAAACGTGTGTTTGTATTTATAGCAAACACCAATCCCAAACAGAATAGGAAACCAAGCCCAGACTCAGACCTGACCCGTGATCAACCGCCGAACCCATCGCGGTCGACCGTGGCAAACGACAGAACCCAAAAAACAATTACAGGGTTTCGCGGTCGACCGCCGCGCCAGTTGACGCGGTCGACCGTCAAAAGTCCAGAGACTTTCCCCTGTGCTGTGCACGTTCGCGGTCGACCGCCGCGTCACCCGCAGTCGACCGCAAGACACCCAAAATCTGTCCTTCACCTTTTTGCCTGATCTTCTTCGCCGTTGTTCCCAATTCTACACACCATGTAAACAAAACCTGTGAAGTGAGTAATACTTCTCATATTTTGTACAAACAGAGGAATGAGATTGATGGATTCATTCAACCCCCGAAAACAACCAATTCACGGAGCAGTTAAATTTGCCTTGATTGTTCAAGATATACACCTGCCTACTCTAACACACAGCGTCATTGACATGTCCATATATTCTTGAATTGGTATTGTACATGAGTGTATGATATATGGAGTAACTTCATTATCTTGCCTTTTAATATTTTCTTGAGCTATTTCACATGGAATATTTTTTAATGAAACTGGTAATTATTGTTAAATTCTTCTTCTCATGGGGACCATACATCCTTCCACTTTCCTTTGTGTTTCTTAATGGTTTCTTGTCCAAAGTGGAAACAACTTTTGATTCCTGCAATTTTTTTGGTGATTCCCCCATCCCTACGAGCATTTGGACTCTTAAGTGGCAGACTATCATTGAACAAATTTTCAATGCTCACGGCTTTGGTGTTGTAGCTTTGTTCTTTCTGTGTAACATTTTGTCCATGCTCAGTGCTTTGGTGTTCTAGCTCAGTTCTCTCTATATAAAAGTTTGTTTGTTCTTAAGTTTGAGGAACTTCTTTCAAACCGAAATGGGTAAACTCTTGGTGGATTCTTTTGCAGGTCGATTTCAGAATCCCTAGAGTTCCATTGTCAAGCTCGGTGTCAGCCCATAATTTTGCAGCGATACTGCCTGGTGACTCAGTAGCAGGGTTGGTTGTGGCAAATGGACTCAACAACTTCTTGAATCTATACAACACTGTTCTTGTGGTTAGGCTGGTCCTTACTTGGTTTCCCAACTCTCCTCCAGCCATTGTCAACCCTCTCAGGTACTCTGCTGGATTTGCACAGTTCTTATGAATTAGCCCCAGATAAGAGCCAAATAGTTTAAAAGTATAAGCAATGTATTGTTGATTTGGCATATAATGCCTCTAAAATTGAAAGTAGTAGGTTCACAATAGGAGTGATATCATCCAACATGATGATAATATTAAAAAATAGTGATGTTACGAAGAATGATGACAAAGAAGCATGTTTGGTCACATTATTTCTGAAATATATGATAAACATATTCATTGATTGTTAATTCATGATATTATCTGTGGGCATTAATGAAATGATTGTCTGTCCTATCATCATTGCCTTCCTTGTTTTACATCACGAGAATAGAGCTTTATCAAAATTCAGAACTATATTTATACCCAGAAATTCATGAATCAACATCAACAACAACCAAGCCTTTATCCCAAATATTTGGGGTCGGCTACATGAATCCTATTTTTCCATTTCATTTTGTTATGAGTCATCTCCTCCGTTAAGTTAGGCTTAATCATATCCTTCTTAATTGCTTCTAACCAAGTCATTCTAGGTCTACCTTTAGATCTCCTAGCCACATTAACTCTAATATTATCGATTTTCCTAATCGGTGTACCCAGAAATTCGTGAATGATGATCAAAAAGTCAGAAATAATCCATGAGATGTTCATTACTTAAATATTCTTCATTTCTTCATGTTTCAGAACTTACCAGCAAGATAGTCATAGATGCAGTATATATTCACTATTTGCGTGAAATAATTTTTCTATTCTGATTGCTTTCCATGCTTGTTTCGTTCTTCATATTTCAGATTTTCATGGGCTAGTATATTCTTTCCTGAAATATATATTAAGCTTTACCTAATTTTTACAAGATACATCTACGTATATGTGGTCCCCACTAGGTATTGTTTGTAGAACATTGGCAAAAATAAGCTCAAAATTAGGTAGTAGAATAATGCTGTACAGGCTTTGGTTCAACACGGCAGACCAAAACTTCTGTTGAATCTGACCCTTTGACAGCCACCTTGGTTCAGTAGCTTAGCCTCAAGGATGATGTCAGTTGGTGCAAGCAATTTTCAAGTTTGTCTTAATCACGGGTTAATTTCCTTTGTCAGTCGGATACAATTAGACCCCTCCACATCCTTCTGTGTTTCCTTCTATAGTTTATACATTTCCATTTGGGGTTTGGTCTTTCACAGAATGAAACCCCACCTTGAATCACAAGGTTTTGATCAACACCTCAGCAAACAGTGACATTTTTGAGCAAATATATTTTACTAATTCATCTAGAAAACTTGTTTGTCAAAGAAAATCCTGATTTAGTTAAAGAATTGCGAATTCACCTATCTTGAGCCAAGACATGTATTTTATTGTAAGCATCCTCAATAAATGAAAATGGACTTTTACATTAGAATATAGGCATCATTAAAAAAATCATCTGATACTGTGTTTTGAACTGAACAATTTACTTAATGAAAATTTTTAGTTATGTTGAGTTTACACTAAAATGGAGGAGCCATAACAACTAAAATGAAGGAGCCATAACAATTAAACAACTAATAGGCAAGATTAATAGCACCATGACTATGGTTATTGGCTAGTTCTGCAAGCAACATTCTAACAAAGCTGAAATCAGATGTGTCTTATCACTTTTGCAACCAATCATCTGCATTAGGTCTTCCCAAGAGAAGTTGATTGCTGTCTTTCCGGTCTGAAGGAAACAAAATATTCAAAATCCCCCCTACTATAACTAGTCTTGCAAATAAAATAATGTCTAGTCAACATAATAACAGATTTACCACTTCTCTTTAACATAGAGGGAATTTTGTGAATATGGTCCAAGTGGCTCTATGACTTTATCTATTCCTCAGGAGTATAATTCCCTAACGCAACCCTTCTTCTAGACTTGACTCTAGGATAATTCTAGACAGTTGTTCCTTGGTTACCCTACTGCGGCCTAGTTCTCCATGGTACATGACAAGCTCTTTTTATGCATAGTTTCCTAGCCCAGGAATTTGCATTTCTATTTAGAGGTTTGAAAACTAGACGATGCAGTTGCAGAGTCATCTCTTTCATGGAGATTGCCTCTAGCTGATCCTATTTTGAGGGGAAAGGTAACTAGGATAATTATGTGATAAGGATGATTGTCAATGCAAAATTTAGTTTGTCTCATTCAAAACCTGGACTATTATCTGAGTTTAAGTATTCGTCAAGGATTCATACAGTAGTACATCTTGATGAGCTCATGGATGTATCTAATAAATTACATTGTCTACCATGAACAAATTGTTCATGTTCATTTCATCTTCAACATTATAACTTGTATAATTCCTTTTCTTTTTCTTTTTTCCAGCACAATTTGTGATCCCTATCTGAACATATTCCGTGGAATTATCCCACCACTCGGAGGACTGGATCTCTCCCCCATTTTGGCTTTCCTGGTTCTAACGCCTTAACTAGCACCGCAGCTGCCTTCCTGGCTGAGCTACCAGCATCTCAACAGCAAGCTTTATCACCTGTATTTCAAAATCTTACTGCAACGCAGGAGAAATGGAGGAAGAGGTTAAGCTCCAGGAACTCTAAGAACTAAGAAGAGGAGATCCCATTGTAGAGAGGACAAACTTGCGTTCACATTTTGCTGAAGTCCAAATCTCTCAGTAGAAAATCTGCGGTTGATGATTTTTTGTATCTAATATCTGTTGATTAATTAATACTAAGCTTGTTACTCAGTGAATATCTTTTCCTCTTGCAAATTTAATCCTCACTTTTACTATGGTCTATTACATTTGATCTGAAGGCATTTATGTTCTTAGTCGATTTCATTTGAATAGACTGTATTGTGAAGCAAATGGAATTTTGGGTTGGGAGCAGATACGTGGGCCACAAACATTTACTCAGATGTCTGTGTTCGTGTATTTTCATGTAGAATTGAAGGAAATTTTATGCAATTTTTTGGCAACTTTGGTTGTGAAAAGTAGGTAATTAAAAGCAACATCCACCATGGGCTTGTCAATCATTAATTTTTAGTGAGGACATGTGTTGGGTAAGAGGAGTTGTAACACTTTGGAATCTGAGTGTTGCTTTAGGGGGGTTATTGGTTGGGACAAGTTGGGATCAAGTGGAATAAGGGGCTGTTTGGTTGTATGTTTTTACCATGTAAAATGATGGAAAGTGTAAAAAAGTGGGTCCCAATGTCAGCTTTAATCATTTTCAATTGTTTGTTTATAGTTGTGAAAATAGTGTAAAGTGATTTCATATGCTGATATGGCCTGTAAAGTGATTTCATAAAAAAAGACATGATTTTAGGAGAAAGCTGACATTGAAGTCAGGAAAAAATAATAAAAAATATTTCTAACCAATATGATCATTTGGGTAAGGACCACTTTTTACATTTTCCAAACAAACAATTAAAGTTACATTTGCAAACCAAACAAGCAATTTATGATTCCAATGGAATCAAAAACAAACAAAAAATGTATAAAAATAAAATTGATGAGGTGGACAACAACTTTCCAAGTTGTGTCATAAATATATAATTTTACCAACAATAACCAAACAGCCCCTAATTGTTCCAATGGATTAGTTTTAAAACGGGTTTTCTATAGAGTGCCCATGGGTACTCTATAAAAGAGGAGAGAGATAGAGAGAAATGAATGAGGAGGGGATACCAATGCAAATTAGGGCCTCCCATCTTTATTCATTTCTCTCTATCTCTCTTCTCTCTTATAGAGTGCCCATGTGCACTCTATAAAAAAACCGATGCTAGGGGCACACCCTCAACCATACTCCCAATCACACCCCCACACTCCCTATAGTGCTAGTGGACAATGCATGATATTTTAAAAAAAATATCATACATGGCCCACTAACACTATAGAGAGTGTGGGGGTGTGGTTGAGGGTGTGCCCTTAGTAAGACTTTTAGTTTTATCCCTTTGAGATATTTAGAATGACATAAAGTGGGACAAGTTGGGATATTGAGATAATTTAAATATTTGATTTGATAATTCATATGAGATAATTGATGATGTGACATCTTATTAAAATATAATATTTATTTATCAATTAAGTCTAAATTAATTTATCTAAATGGTTTAGTATACTATTTAGTATGTTATTATAATATCACATAATGTTTCTTTATACTAAAATTAATATGTTATATTATAATTACTAATTAATTATAACTATGTTTAATGTTATTAATTAATGTATTATTTTATATATTATATGATATATTATATCAATTATGATAAAATATACGAGCAATATATTCAATATAATATTTCAATAATATGATATCTAATTTAATACAAATATAGATATTATAATATTATATTTTATCTAATATAATATTATTTAAAATATGATATTATTAATAAAAATATAATGTTATATTTTATAATTATTACTATAATTTAAATGGGAAAATTGATGACATGACTCATTATTAAAATAT